TAATTATTTTTATTAACATATATTTTAATTATTTATTAATTATATCATTGTTATTTTTGTACCTACAAAAAGCTAAACAAGTAAAGTAAAACAAAAAAAAAGTATTATTCACATTAAAAATATTTTTATATTTTTTATATAATGATTCTTCTATTAGTATTATAATACATTAATGAAATTATTTATACAATTTTTTTTATTTTGTACTATATTTTGATACAATAATTAATATTTTAAAATCAACATGCTAAAAATAAATGAGATAATAAGAGTGAAATAGATATAGTATTTTTTTATAAATTTATGTAGTTAAAGAAAGTGGTGCAAGATTTGCAAGATTGGTCTCATGTAACTTGTCATTTTTTTTTTTAAGGAAATCTGATTATCTATTTTAATCCCATTTTAGATTTTAATTTTTTTTTAAAAAAATTTAATGAAATTATTTTTTTTTTAATTTTAATTTATAATTATTTATACTAATATAATTTTTAATTACCTATTAATTATATTTTATCTAAATTTTCATATCTATAAAATATGCCCAAAATTTTCGTATCTACGAAGCAGTATTTATCTTAATAATGTTTAATTGGCGGAGATGTGATGTGACAACATGTTCAGTTTTGGGACACCACTCAAATATGTCTCCTCCTCCTTCATCTTTTGTCTTTTTCCTCACTTTTATTTTATTTTTTAAAATTTTAAATCTAATATTTCTACAATAGAAAGGGGCTTTTTATTTATTTATTATTCGTCAGTCTGCTTGCTAAGTCCACGTTGTCGTTTATATTCATTTTATATTTTATGTTATTTTATTTTTTTGAAAAATAATTATTTATTTTTTTAAAAATTTTTTAAATTAATTTTAATTAAATTAATTAGTTATTTTAATTTTAATTTATAATAATTTATATTATAGATTAATTATTTTTACTAATACATTCTTAATTATCTATTAATTATATTTATTTTAAATTCTCGTGTCTACCGTGACCAAGACACTAAATGTGGGACGGAGTTAGTATTATATTTTTATATGATGTAGAAACTCACGTCATTATATTTTGTTTTTCTTTTTTGATCGGAATTATTTTTTTTTTGTTATTTATTTATTTATTTATTATTATTAATATTTTTTTGTTTGTTTGGTTGATGAGATTATTTTTCAAAGTTTGATTAAAATAGGATACTACTCAAGGGTTTTCTAAGTTTTTATTTGAAGTTATGTTTTTTATTTGATGTTTTATTTTATATAATAATATTCAATAAGAGAAAAATAATCTATTTTCAATTATATAAACTAAATAGTGTTGACTTGTGTTTGAAATTGAAAACAAACAGATCATTAGTTAGAAAGAATTGCTTTGTTCTTCCCATATTAGCGTTTTAAAAGAAATAATAAAAAACACAAAAAAATTTATAAAAAAATAAAAATGTCAAAAAATAAAAAATAAAATTCAATACTTTTCTATAAAAAATCAAAAAATTATCGAAAAAATAAAAAAAATCAAATATTTAACTTAAAAATAATATATTTTAGGGTAAATTATTTTTTTAATCCCGTAAGTAGAGCCTGTCGCAAACTAGTCTTATAAGTGAAAAATTTTCGCTGTTTTAGTCCTCCGGCGTTGAAAACGTCAGCGTGGCTCGCTGAAGCTGACACCTGGCGGACACGTAGATTTTTTTTTTTTTTTTTTTTCATTTTTAATTTTTTTATTGGACCAAATAAAAAAAATATAAATAAAATTTAAAATAAATTAAAAATAAGTTTTAAAAGAAATTAAAAAAATAAAAAAAAAATCCATATGTCCGTCAGGTCAGCGACACCTGGCGGACACGTCACCTCCGGCGAGCCACACGGACATCTCCGACGCTGGAGGACTAAAACAGCAAAAAATTTTCACTTATGGGACTAGTTTGCGACAGGTTCTACTTACGGAACTAAAATGATAAGGGGTCCAGTTACGGACTAAAAAAACAGTTTATCCTATGTTTTATTTCTTTACGAAATTCCCCGTATCACATACCAAAAAATCATTCAATCTAAAAACTTTGGATGAATAAAATCAATATAAATTTATAAATATATATATATATTTGTATTCAAATTTATGAGGGTATTTTTTATTTTAAATAAAAATATTACTATTTAATAGTATGATTTTAATAAAAATATATTATTTTTATAAAATATTAAATTTAAATAAAAATATTTGATAGCTTTGTGTTGAAATCAAAACCCATCACACCTCTTTATTAGTTGGAATTGGAAATTGGAACCATCAACACTTTTGACTTATTTTCCACCATCGTTGTATATAACATTTTGGTCCATCATATTTGTATATTTATATTTCAGTATGGTAAATTGTTGAATTTATAGGTGAATTCATTTTATATATATTTACAGATAAAAATAGTTATTGTATTTTATTTTTTTTCTTAAAAAACAATAATATTATAAGAGACAAGAAATATATATTTTTTTTATAAGTGATTACATCCTCAATTATTTCTGTAAAGATATTATATTTTGAATGTGACAAGGGTTTATTAGTTTGGAGTTTTATTTGGTTTTCTAATTTATATGTGATGTTTTATATAGATAAAAAAGACATTTTTTTTTTCAAACAAAAAAAGATAATTTTTACATAATAAAAAGATATTTTCTCCTTCCCTTAACAATCTATTCATTTTTTTTTATTTTGGTTCGTCCCATAGCAAAGTATTCATTTTTTTTAGTAATTGTACTATCTACCTAACATTACAAATACCCTTCCAATTTACAATATATTACACAAATGTCATTACCTTTATATCATACAATACTAATATAGGGTTAATTTAGTCTCTTTACTTTTATTTCTATTTTATCCCAATATAATACTAATATTTCTAAAATTTCGTGAAAAAAACAAATGGATATATAGTACTCCCTTTGTCCCAGATACTATGTCCACATTGTTGTTTATATCCGTTGTTTATATCCGTCCCACGTACCATGTCACTTTTCTTTTTTGAAAAATGATTACACACTTTAATCTCATTTTAAATTTTATTTTTTTTAATTTTAATTAAACTAATTAGTTATCTTAATCTTAATTTATAATTATTTATATTATAGGATAATTATTTTCACTAATGCATTCTTAATTATTTACTAATTATACCCCTCCTAAAATACTGTGTTTACAGTGTAGCAGACACAGTATTTGAGACGGAGGGAGTAATAAAATTAAATTCCAAGAAAACACTATATTTATGAAGTTGTTGAGTGTGAAAGGAGAGGATGTTTGTGTCAAAAAATGCAGCTAAGTCAGGCATTGAATTTGGACGTTAGTAATTTTAATTTAATTTAATTTAATTATTAAAATATAGGGCTAATATATTCTCAACGTGTACTCGTCGTGTTCATTTAATTGGATGAATTTGGATTCAAATGTCAATTTTTAATTAATACATTTAAATTATTATAAATTCGAAACACATTTTATAATTTACATTTATTATTTCATTTTAAGACAAATATGTGGAATTACATATTATTTAAAATTATTTATTTTAAACAAAAAAAAAAAACCAATTCTTAGCCCAATTACAAAAGCCCATATTGATTATTGTATAAGCCCACATTACATTTCATAGTCTATTTACAAAATCCCATATTTATTTTCAGCCCAATATCGCAAGTGGGTTACAATTGGGCCCAGGTACAAAAGCCCTTTATAGTTCTTTAGCCCATATTTATAAAGCCATATCCACTTTGGGCCCAATTTATAAACCCAAATACTCTTTGGTCCATAAAATAGTAAGCCCAAAAGAACATATTATTTTCCAATTAATTCTTTTAGATAAGTGTTTGATTTTTTTGTTTGAAATTTTTGAATAGTGAATGTTTATTAATTTATGTTTTTGAATATAAAATTGTTTTTTTTGTATAATACTCCCTCCGTCCCATATGTAATATGGGTGTATTGCTGTAGACACAGGAATTTAGGTAAAGTATAATTAATAAGTAATTAAAAAGTGTATTAGTAAAATAATTATTATTTAGTAAAAATAATTATAGATTAAGATTAAGATAAGTAAATAGTTTAATTAAAGGTAAGAACATTATAAAATTTAAAATTTAAAATGTGATTAAATAGCATAATTATATTTCCGAAAATAGAAAGGACAAGTTATGTGGGACGGACGAAAATAGAAAAAAGGGACAAATTATTTGGGGACGGAAAGTATTATTTAATTTGATATTTTTGAAAAAAAAGAAAAAAAAAAAATAAATTGTAAAAATCTGATTAGAAATCTACAAAACAACCTATATGTCTAAAAATACTTATCATGAATTTGAATAGTAGGCTTTGTTTGTTTAATATTTGACATTTAAAAAAAATATGTTGAATAGTCATTTTTTTTCCCTGTCATTTATATTATTTTTTTATAGTAAAAAAAAAAAATTGATATTTGATATTATTTTTACTAAAAAAATAAAATAAGAATATTTTTGATAAAAACATAAATATAAATTTAGAATAAAAAATATTATTAGGGCAAACAAATCCATATTAAAAAAAATCCTTATAAATACATAATTGAAATAAAAAATGACATGTACATGCCCAATTGGCCCAGTCAACAATTCCGCTTTTTTTAATCAATAAAATATAATAAAAAAACAATAAAATATTAAAACCATACCTGTAGTCTGATGTCCGTTTGCATTATACTTTTCCCTACAAATGGACAAATTTAATCAATATATTAATTAAATTACTATTTAATAATTTCTGACGTAGACATCTTACTTGACCAACTCCTGGACTCCAGCTCCGGATCAACCCACTCCGTCGATGGTAAAAACGGACGGTGCAGATCCACCCATTCGACGACCCAGATTTGATATAAGCACAGTAGGCTAATGTTCTTCATCTTCTTCCCCACTGGTCAAAATTTAGAAAAAATTTGTCTGCAAATTAAACCCTACCTAGTCCGAAACCTCCATGGACAGATTAATCAAGCCTGAATTTCAGGTTATTGATTTTCTGTTCGCCGCCGGCCGGAAATGTTCTCAGGCGTTTAAGCTCTCAAATCTGATGCACACCATGCCGGTCGCCGTTTCCCTTACAGTTTCCGATCCATCGGTCTTCTCCTTCGCAGCGCCGTTTTCGATTATTCCGCCGCTGTCGACGGCATCGTTTTGTCTCCTTCTCAACAAGCCCCTCGACGCGCCGCCGCTCTCCACGCCGCCGGCGACCGTCACCGTCAGATCCTCCATGCTCCCCACCGGAAAAGCGCTCCACGGCGATCTCCGGCGGCTCTTCTCCAAGCCCGGCCCGCACATATTCAAGGATGCTGAGATTCTGATTTCCTTTGTCGGCGCCGACGTCGCCGAGTTCCTCCTTTCGCCGCCGGCGGCGGCGATCCTCCCCCTCCCGGAGATCAGAAATTCCTTCTTCTGTAAAGCAATCGCGCCGTGCGATGCGGCGGAGCTCAATTCCTTGCTCCGGATCGCCGCCGCGAACGGGAAGGTCAGTTCGATTTCAGCCCTAATTTCCGCCGGCGCCGCCGTTAACTCCGCCGCGGCGGTCGCCGGCGCCGGAGAGTCGTTGATCTCCTCTGCCGTCGCTTCCGGCAGCGCCGAAGCTGTCAGAACCCTAATCGAATCCGGCTGCGAAATCGACGCCATCAACGACCGGCTGCTCCACAGCGCCGCCGCACGCGGCGGCGTCGATTTACTCCAAACTATCTGCTTAAGCTACGCCGACATCGATTTAAACTCCGGCAATTCTCAGGGCCAAACCGCCGTCCACATTGCCGCCATAAACTCCCAAACTGAAGCTCTGCAATTCCTCCTCTCAATCGGCGGCGACCCGGACATCTCCGACGACGACGGCTGGACGGCGCTGCACTACGCCGCCGACCGCGGTGACTCCGGCGCGGTCGAGGTCCTTCTCCGCCACTCCTCCTTCTCGAAGCACGCCGTCACGAAGGACGGCAAGACGGCGTTCGCCCTGGCCGCCGGCGGCGGCCATTCCGACCTCTTCGATGCTCTGCAATTAGGCGACGAGTTGCAGAGAGCCGCGCGATCAAACGACGTCGTGTCGATCGAACGGTGCGTATTGAACGGGGCGAAAATCGACGGCAAGGATCAAAACGGGTGGACGGCGTTGCACAGAGCGGCGTTTAAAGGACACATGGAGAGCGTGGAGGCTCTGATCCGCCATGGCGCGAGGATCGACGTCGTCGACGGCGGCGGCTACACGCCGCTTCTCCGGGCGGTGGAGGCCGGCCGCGTCGAGATCGCCATGTTTCTGCTGTCGAGCGGAGCGAAGACGAGCCTGAAGAGCATAAAGGGAATGGCGGACTGTGGTGGTGGTGGAGATCATCGTCATCGTCTCCATTGCCATCGTCGTTGTAATTCGGAGCTGTTGAATTGATTAGTTGCAGGAAACCCTAATTGAGAGAATTGGGGAATTAGATTTTAGGGTTTTGGAGACAGGGAAAGGATTATTAATTGATTGGTTTATATAGTCGGTAATTTTGGTTGGATTTGAGTGAGGAATTGTAAAAAGTTAAATCGAAAGGGTTATTTTGGCATGATGTAAATAGAGGTAAGTAAGGTGTTTTTAATTTAAGGGGTGGGATTAGATGTTGAACATTAAGAATCAGCATAAAATTTTTAATTTAATGGCTTGTATTAAATTAAGGGTGTAATAGTTATTTTTCTAATTTATATAACTACCTTAAAAGCATCATTCTCCTTTCTCTTCGATGCAACATACAGTGGGAAAAACAAATGCGCTCTTCCAATAAAATTAATGGGTGATTGACGGAGATGAGCATAATCAATTATCTATTATTCCAACTCCAATCAATTGCACAACAAGCAGTGAAGACATCGAAGATATTGCAGTTTCGGATTGCATCAGCACCCTCACCAAGTTCAGACACTGTGGAACTGGAAATCGCTCAATCACATAAGTTACTTCTCGAAAATTGATTTGAAATCGTGAATATCTTTTGTGATTTATTTGGTTGAATTTACTGGATTCAGTTTATTGGATTGGATTGTGGCGTCTTTAGTCAAATTCGGATAATAGTTTATATAATTGTGTTAATCTAATTGTATTAATTGTGTTTCAAAATTTATATATAAACAAAGCCATCAGAATTCCATTTGGTATGATAAGAATTTCTTAAATATGCATTAGTAGTCGTATTTCAATTAAAATATTGAAATTACTATTAAATAAAATAATGTAGCATACCGTTCAACAAACGTGAGCATATTTACCAAAGAAGATAATAGCATTTTGTATTGTATTACATAACATAATATGTGATGGTCTTAAATAACAAACTCAACATCATGCTACTTATGGGAAAGCATTTTATAATACAACAGTCAGCATTTTGATTTACATTCCCCAGCCAAACAATAATATTGTTCAATTTCTTCATCAATTTCAAAGAATGGTGGAGAATTATAGAGGAACAACATGATTTCTTTGTATGAGATAGACGGTTAGTTGCAAATCATATAATCAACTCATTGATAAACTCTGTAGCCATGTTCTATACATTGAATGATTTTCAATGGTTTCAAGAGCAACACCAAAGATCTTTTGAATTCATAACATAGTGCTTATATGATAAAACAACATATCTTATATATAACATGGAGAAGACAAGCGATGAGCATCTTGTTCACATCAATATTCAAGAGTCTTCGATTGAGTGCACGTACAACATGTGGAAAAATATTAGAATGTTGTGTTGCCATTCAATACGCACGATAGATGTAGTAGTAGCAACAGGTTGTGCACAGTTCAAAAAACATCCTACACAAATGCATATTGAATCAACAATTCTGAGAGACAAAAAAACATATAAAAGGATGAATAAGAGAGATAACCAGCATGATAAAAACAAGGAAATTGATCTTTGTCAATTCATACATGATTTGGTTGCAAAATATTATGAACAAAGTATTACATATACAATACCAAGTATTTTGTTGAATACCAATAAGCATTTTCTACAAGTGTGTTTAGCATGTTAATTTATTTTAAAATGATATGAATGTTATCTAGAAAATGTTGCAAAAACGACATTCTAAATATGCTTTCCACCAAAACATATTGCCAATTAATAAAAACATAAAATGATGGATATGAATTTACATTTACTGAATTTAACATTTTATTTAATATCATCAAATATTTTCATGTACTGCTATTCAGCATTTTACTGTTACCATTCTAACCTAATAGCATTTATATATACTGAGTCAAGCATTTTACTAAATACCGGTAAGCTGTTTTAACAAGCATCATGAGTGTTAAGCATAAATTGATACAAAAATACACAGTCAATTGACCAATCACCCATTCAATCCATCTATCAATACCAGCAATCTATTCAAATTCAATTCATCAAAGTCAATAGAGCAATCATCACAATCAATTTTTCTCTCGCGCGCGACCTCGTCCTCGCCTACGGAGACACCACCAGAAGGCAAACACTTTTTGCCGCAGCAAGAAGTGGAGCTGAAGCTTTATGTGGTTGTGTTTGAAGAATATTATAGCGACGCATACGCAGCTCTTGAAGAGAATTTCAGAAATCACGATCTCCAGAAATTAACAAATAATCTACAAGAGCTAGATTGTCAACTGCCCAGAATAACATATCCACCAGAATTTTCTTGTCACTCACATCGTTGGCACCTAAGCATGGAGAAAAACTATAAGATCAAATTTAATCCAAATAGATTCACAAATTAACACAACGACATTTGATGAAGACACTTTCAAAAGCAAATAGGCCATCAATAACTACCCGACAAGAAAGGCTACATCACATATTAGTTGCTATTTTCTCTTATTTGAAATAGATGCTAAAAACATTCGAACAAAACCACTAGTGACAAAATAAACATTCCAACATAATCGCAAGCAACAAACTCACACTTTCAATCAGAAATTGGGATTTAATATGCATTACTATTTCAAATGCAAATTTAGAAAAATGGATGAAGTGTCACTACAAATGCAAAATAAAGTTTCAGATTCCTCGTAGCATGTGAAAAATGGATGAAGTGTCGTTACAAATGCAAATATAGAAATTTGCAGTTGCTTGGCTTCAACTTAATACCAACTTCCAAAAGCCTCTCTTAATATCATGGAAGTAGGAATTTACTTACACGAAATCGAAACTCATCATCAATTTTTCTACTATCTATAGAATTGTTGTTAAGGAGCAGCATAAGAAGAGCTTCAGTCAACCATTATAATGAGATAAACAGAACATTAATTGCATAAAAGTACTGCTAATAACACAATAAAAACACTATGTTTAACAATTTCATCTTCCCCTACAACGCTAGCATAACAATAAAAAAAGACAGAAAGTACACAAAAGTCCAACAATAAATTAGTCAAAATAAAGGCTACACATAAACATAAATCGCAGTTAAAAAGCCAGAAACCACTCAATCCCATTGTTCAACACTCACCACAACAACCCAATGATATGCAAATCATCTACTCAACAACACAATAAGCACAAAACTCCAACAAATCTGAAAAATTATCTACAGGGATGTGATTAAGCGCGATTCCAATGCTATTAAGAGCCTGCTGAATAGAGGAGGAGATCCTGGTGGTGTCTCTGTAGGCAAAGACGGAGATGGGCCCACAGTTAAAATAGGGCTTCTCCACAAACTATAACAATACATAGAGAAATAAGGATTGGACAATGATTTAACTTAAATAAGGTAGAAGAAGAGAAACGTTTAACCTAAACTGCGTTGAAATCATATGAAACGATGGACATAACATAACTTATCGAAACTTAGACACAAAGAGCGATGACAAAATCACCTCCATAAATGCATCCGGCCTCGAATAACGATAGACAGTTGAAAAAGTTGAAGAAGATGATTTGAAGACGAAGAGCAATTAAAGATTTTTCAGTAGAAAGTAAAGAATGAAGGGAGAATGAAAAGATCGCCCCAACCTAGTAACTTTTGTAAATTAAAATTACTATCTTACCCCAATTTAATCTAAACCGTTCGAATGTAATCTATTGTGACGAACAGCCTGTATTGTATCAGTATGATACTGATGGATGCACCCATCAGCACTGGATCCGCTTCCTTAATTTAAAGTTAATTTTTGTATTGTTAATATAGAATTTCAAGATTTAATTTAATATTTTTATTGAAGAAAAAAATGAAAAGTAGTTAAAAATTAAGGCAATTTTATAGTAGTTGCTTTTGCTTGTTCAATGATTCAGGCTTTTTTGTTTTGTGAAAATATATTTACGCATCTTTTCAAAAAAAAATGTGAAATTGCTTATAATTTCCCAGTTGTTTCGAAATTCAGTGTAAAATCTCTCTATAGTTTAAAAATTGCATGGTACCCCCTTATACTTTAAAAAACGTTGCATGAAACCCCACCACCATAAAACTTTCCTCGTGCGATAAGAAGCTGATTTCCTATCTATATGTTTTGCATGACAGGGGGGTTTTATGCAATATTTTTGAAAGTATAAATGAGCGTCATGCAATTTTTTAAAGTAAAATGGGGATTTATGCTGGGTTTTCAAAACCACAAAGTGATTTTATACAATATTTTTTAAAGTATAAAGGGACGTCATGCAATTTTTAAAGTAGAGAGGGAATTTACGCTTAATTTCGAAACCACAAAGGAGTTATGGACAATTTTGCCAAAAAAATAAAAAATACTTGTATCTTCTTATTTTATATTATTTTATTTTTATTACTGTATTGATTGAGTTAAATTAGGTCGTAATTTCACCCTAATCCACCTTTATTTTTCTTTTATAATTTTTTTTTATCTTTCTTTTAAAAAAAAAAAATCAATCACAAATTTGCTGTGATTTTAAATTTATAAGAAATTTGACACAAGTTTTCCTTATATAATATCGCGCGTACGTAAAAAAAATAAAATAAAATAATCAAAATCAACGTTAAAATTTCAAAATGAATGCACCAAGTTCCATTTTGAACAAAATACATTGAATGATTATGAATTGGCTCCATACAATTGATACCGTTTCATAAGGTAGCTACAAAAGAATGTTCACTTTTTTAAAATAAAAAATAAAAACATTTATTTGTATAAAAAAAACAATACAATCATCAATTGCGAAATATTATTTTTTTTTCTCATTCCAAAATTAATACAAAATACTCCCTCCATCCCAATATCAATATAAAAAATATTGATATTATATTGGTAGTGGATAAAAAGTAAAGATAAAAGACTATTTTGCCCTTGTGAGTGTATTAGTGTAAAAAGTAGTGACAATTGTGTAATAATAATAAAAAAGTAAAGATAATTTTATAATGATACAATTATTTATGGACGAACAAAAATGGTAAATAAGACTGACTGTTGTATTGGGACGGAAGGAGTAGTTTGAATTCAATTTCTTTATATCTCTATACATATTTTTTTAAAAAAATATATTGTTAATTTTTTAAAAAATATTCAAGCTCTATTCAAATTAAAATTTAAATTTAATTCCCAATAAATAAATCATCGAATCATTTTTTCCATTGTAATAACCCAATTCCAAAATTAATACAAAATTCAATGGATTGTTCAAGTGTGTTTGATTGCTTTTTATTTATTTTTTAAATAATAATTTACATGTGATGTATTACGATAATAATAAAAATACTATATTTACAAAAATCATTCAAATTAAATAGTAAATTTTTTAAAAATAATCACCAAAAAAACACTACTTTCATTTCTAATTTATGCAATTAATTAATTAACATATTAGAATATGGGCTGGGCTTTAAGAACAAATCCCGGCCCAATATCGACTACCGCGCGAAATATTTTTCGAAAATAATTTAAAAACCGATGCCACGTTGGCAATCCGCGTCGATCTTAACGGACCAATCAGAATCGAGGAATTTTCTTTATATGGCACCCGGTTTGTCCAGGAGATTCGATCATCGATTCATTTCTCTGCAACTGCAAGCCCTACTGGATTGCCGCCCGATTCTTCTCCACTATTTCTAGGGTTTCTCAAGTTCGACAGAAAATGGGTTCCGACGCAGCAGCCTCCACCAAAGGCGGCCGGGGAAAGAGCAAGGCGACCAAATCTGTCTCGCGTTCATCCAAAGCAGGTCTCCAATTTCCGGTGGGGAGAGTCGCGCGGTTTCTGAAAACAGGGAAATACGCCGAGCGCGTCGGCGCCGGTGCTCCGGTCTACCTCTCCGCCGTCCTCGAGTACCTCGCGGCGGAGGTGCGTTGTATATTCTGTCCGCGATCTTGCTTTAATTTTGATTTGGGAACGATTGTGTTGCTCGGTTAGGGTTTTGTAAATTAATTTTAATTTCTTTTTTCGTTTTTTTCTTTTGAATTAGGTTTTGGAACTTGCGGGGAATGCTGCGAGGGATAATAAGAAGACGAGGATTGTGCCGAGGCACATACAATTAGCAGTGCGGAACGATGAGGAGTTGAGTAAGTTGCTGGGAAGTGTGACCATTGCTAATGGCGGAGTTTTGCCCAATATTCATCAAAGCTTACTGCCAGCGAAAGCTGGAGGCAAGGATAAGGAGATTGGCTCTGCATCTCAAGAATTTTAGAAAATCCTTTTCACATTAATTGGTCGAATTGGTATATGGTGTGCAGAACCCAAACTTTTTGTTGCTTGAAATACACACAGTGGGTTGTTAATGAAGTTTGGTTTCTCTGATTCTTGGCCTATTTTGATTGGAAATATTTTTGGTCATATAATGTGTGTTAGTCATTCAGATTTCTTGTGCTGTTTTTATTGGTTCTTTTACTTGATGAATCCCCTAGCATTTTTGAACATGTTTATGATATTTTGGCTGCCCAAAGGCTAGGTTTTGAACCTTTTTTGCTAAGATTTGATCTGTTTATGCCTGAGCTGAATGGTTTGTAGAGATTTATTAGATCTCTACTTCCAATCTTCGCATATTGAATAAGCAAATCATAGCATGTGGTTTGTAGCTTTCTGATCTGCCATGGCTATGGGGGAGATGCTTTTGGCAAACTGTATGTATGAATCTTTTAGCTATGCAAGTCTAATGATCAATGGGAGTTCTGGGATTTTTTTGGTTTGGGTTTTGATGAGTAAGTTTTGGTTTTGAGTTTTGTTATTTCAATATTGATCTATAGACAGCACAAACAATATTATGTATGTTATTCACATGATTTTAGGATAATCAATACAACATAGTATGAAATTTATACTAAATTACACAATATATGCCTCTTAACATTTAATGTTTGTTCCTTTTGACACAACTATGTTTTTACTTTTTTAACTGTGTCTCTCTAAAAAAAAAAAAAAGTATATATTCCCTCGTTTCCTTTGGAAGGGTGGTGTTTTTTTTTTTTTTAATACAAAATATCATATTAAACATTATTTTAATAATAAATCAAAACCAAATTTTTTTCCAAATCAATAAAAAAAAAAACACATTGGGCTTCATTTCATTGAAGATTTGTTTGTGTTCTTCCAAGAATTGGGAATTGCACCAACTAATCAACAACCTATTTAGGTTTGATAATGAAATAATCATTGTCCCTTCAGCCCTATTAAGACGATGATAAATAACTAATAAATTGCTACATTATGCCAAGCAAGCAAGCAATGTAATAAGTAAAACAGAAACAAGCCTAAGATTAAATTAACAATGTCCAATTGATTGGTATCATCCTCCATGTTACAGGGTACAACAAGTACAGTACAGTACAAGTTTCACCAAAAAAACAACAACAACAAAGAATTACAAGTTTCTGTGACTTCTTGAATTCTTGAATTGAACAGAAACAACAGTGAGTGAGTGACGATGATGATGATGATGATGGTAGAGGAGAGAGAGAGAGGCATTTCACAGAACAGAACACAACTGCCATTGCTGCTGCAGACACTTTTTTTCTACATTTTGAGATAGAGATACCACTTTCACAATCTCAATAAGGTTTGGTTTACTTGTTATCTCTTTTAAGCTGCACCTTTAGCTTTTTACTGCCTAATTGGAACCCATTCATCATGCTGATTGCGTTCTGCGCCGCAACCGGGGAGTCGTAACTTACAAATCCTGGAGATCATATATATATATATATTATAATGACCTTGAATAACAACACACCAATCAAACAGATCATATCATATATATATATATATACATATATTGTACCAAAGCATTTGCTGACGCCAGTGGCTTTGTCGACGTAAACCTTGGCGCTCAAAACTCTACCGAAGCGCTGAAAAGCATTTCCAAGCTCTTCGTCGCCAAATTCTTGAGGAATGTGGTAGATAAACAGATTAGATCCAGGTGGACCTGCTTTGCAAGAATAACGGTTTCTTGCACATTAGATGTTTGTCGCAAACATTGGTAATCGACAAAAAAAAGAGTATTTCACAATTTCCACAAACCTTCGATCTGGCCGCCATGGCTTGGAGTACTGACACTTGAAGATGCTGCAGATTGAGCATTTGCAGTTGAAGGTGATAAAGAACCGGGGGAGCCCGCCTGGGGCCTGTTGCTGATGATTCCTCCGGGATACTGAACAGGGTACTGAACCCCGGGTACGCTCGGATAAGCAGATCCTACGTAGCTGGAAGGGGACACGGCGTAATGTCTGGGGTTCACTGCAGATGAAAGATCAGGTGTAACTCCGCGCATGGCGTTTCCTTGGTGGTTTAAAGGCGGAATCAGATTGTGAAACGAGTGCTGATTCTGCAACGGTGTTAGGCGATAATGCATGAGTCCATAAGGCCCCGGAGTCTACAAAGGCGAGCAGAAATTGATATAAAAGTACCTTCAGCATCAACTAGCAGTGCCAAAAGGAGAAAAATAACTCCCATTAAGTATGGAACTAAAATATTGCAGAGCTAAGGCTTCAAAAAGAATTCTGAGAGATTAAAAACTTGTGATCTTAGTATAAAAGACAACCTGATAACCGTATCGATTGTATGGAGGCATATAACCCATTGGCAGGGCACCAAATAATGACGCCTGCTGCCTGGAATCGATATTTGGCATGTTAGAGGCCAATGACAATGCCTTTTGTGCCCTCCGAGCCTGTCTTTCCTTCTCTGTGTCTGCCCACTTGACCACCAAAGGTATAGTCGAACCCTATTGCAGAAGCTATCGACATTAATGTTTGACATTTCCAATTTAACACAATGCATTTATTTGGCAGGATGGTGAAAGCAAAGAATCAAACCAACAGCAAAAGGGGATCACAATATAAACAAAAATATGGAGTCTAGAGAAGGAGATGGAGGATAAAATAGTTTATTGGCTTAGCCTAATAAATCTCAAGTAGAGACACACAAACAAGAATTGAGTAACAACATTCAGAACCAAATTCCAACTCTTAATAAAAAAAATTCACCATAAGCAAATGTCCATTTCAAGGGTTTTAAGATCAAGGCTCAAATTTGTGCCATTGGAATAACAGAAAATCGACTACTTTTAATCAGTCTTTCAGGCATAGATTTTGAGATCCTAAATTTCAAATTTTATAAAATAGTATTGCTAAGGGTGATAAATGGTGATTCCTGTGGTGAAGATTCAACACTACAAGATTATATACACCCCACACCAATTCGAGATGGTTATTGTTTACGCACCTCCATCTTATGCTTTCCATTGAGGGCTTCTATAGCTGCCAATGCTTGTTCTTTCGTCTCAAATTTCAAAAAAGCACAACCTACAAAAATTAATTTGTTAGATCAGAAGTTAAAAAGAATATATAAAATCCCATCACTCAGCAATCATGCGAAAAATGGCCACAGGAGATGTTAAACCGCTCACCTTTGCTTGTTTGGGGGGAACCTCTAAGAATTTGCAAATCTGTTATGGTTCCATACTCCGAAAATATAGTAGAGACCTCGTCATCAGAAACATTTTTGGGAAGCATACCAACAAAGAGTTTGTGCTCTGCATTTTGTTTTGGAACAGAAATTGGATGAAAAGATGAAAAAAAAGAAAGCAATCAGTAATACAAAGCAAAGACAAATGAAATATAACTGAAGTGAAGGCAGGTACGAATGGGAACTCGAGTAATAGCAGATACATAGATTAGAAACATAAATTTCAGTCGTTACAGTTGACAGAAAACATAAAAAACAAAAGAAAATACTACATGAATGAAAATCATATTACACCTAGTCTTTCCAACTCGCCATCAGCATACTTCACTTGCAACGGACTAGATGCCTGAATTGGAAACAAAGAAATGTTGCCTTGACATCAGATAAAGGGGTAAAACAAACTCTTGTATAATATTGTACAGAAAATGAAGCAAAAATCCAAAGAGACAAAAACAAGGTACAATGTAATTTGAAGTGTGTGAGATGGTATGACATATAAAGAGGTCAGAACAGATCTAACTCAAGGAAAAAACACATATGCCTAAATGCCTATCAAATGCTTCAAGATGATCAACTGAAACTATTAATACATCAACATATTATGACAAATTTTAACAATAGAAAGTCAGAACTTGGTAGTCGATATAACTAACAATTTTTTCAATCATTTATTACAATAAAGAAAGCAGTGATCATTTGACGTAGAAAACCATTATATTGAGTAATATAAGAGTCTTCATGTCAGCTGTAACAGATGTTGTACTTTCAATACAGAACTTCAAATACAAGTATAGAAGAAAAGATTCAAATAGCAACACTGCTGCTCATTACATTCACGGGGCAGGATAATTTATACAGGATATAGCTTTTCCAGTTTTGCTTATGTACACAGCACCATAAAGGTGAAGCAATTTTATCATTTGACTCGCTTCCATAAATTATTGATGTGCTAGTCAAGTGTGCCAATCATCCAATCCAAAAATGCTCTTATATTCCAGTATTACTTGGACCAAATCCACAAGAACAATGGTGACAATTTCATCTGAAATGACACAAATATTACTTTCCAAGATCCTCCACAGCCTATAGATTTTCCAAAATCAAGCATGTGAGAGTGCCTCGGTAATAATAGTGCCTATGGAGTCCCGATGTCAGCCATAAGGCTATATAAAAAACCACACACGACAGTTTTGAAGAATTGTAGTAGATATCCACAGTCAGTGTAAAAACTTGTTTACTATTTACAACATTAAGCTTTAAATAATATATTGAAGAAGTCCACCATCAAATGCATCCCAGATATTCCACATACTTAGATATTTTTTATCAACGTTTTTTATTGATGTAAAAAATGGAACAATGCACCATATAAGTTAGGACTCCATTATATTTCATCAAAATGAAGGCCATTATCGAATAAGTTAGTATTTGAATCTTCTTTTGTATACTTGTATTTGAAGTTATTTTAAGAACTTTATTGATTATGTCCTTATCAAATAAGTTAGTATTTTAAGAACTTTAAGAATAAGCATTAGCTAATTATCTATTGATAATGTAACAGAGTAAGCATTAGTTAATTATCTTGATTGAGAGAAAAAGACTCTTAACTAAACTAATAACTTATCAAAAGTCTTAAAAAGAGTACACTCCAAAGATTTAAAAAAAATGACTACACAGCTCAATAACTTTCTGCACATAGCTTCCGGTCACCAAATGAGTTGATTGAATGAACCCCACGAATAAAAATGTTACAGAAAATAGAAATTTCTCTCCATTAACAAACAACTTAAATTGTTCAACACACAGATGCACCGATGGAAATCTCAAATAGGAGGGGAAATGCAAGTTGAGTTGAGTGTATTATTGTTAAGAAGGGATTTGGGGTTTCAACTTAAAATCAATAAGTGGGACAATATTCAACACTTCCCCTCGATGATAATCTTGAAATCCTAACCAAGATCAGCGTAAATGATCGTCTCACTTAAAAGCTTAAAACTTTGAGAGATATGCATCATTTACTTATTTATATTTTTACGGGAGTTGACCAACAATTATGCCCAATGCTAAAAGTCGTGATCCTAAATCACATTAAAACTAACACCAGATGAACATACACATTTATTCAAGTGCAGAGAAATTCCTCAAATGCATTTTTTTAATCACCCCTGTGAAAATACTAAAAATAAAGAACACCAAACTAAATTTTATTATATAACCTTATTGGTCACAAGAACCATGAGAAACTTGAAATTCATCCACACCAATATCAAAATCCACTCTCCAAGCAAAATAACATAATTATTAAGTTATCCTAATCTCATTCAATTGCATAAAATACCAGTTACCCAGCCACCATTATCATATTATCTAGCAAGACTGTGACCTAATTATTTCCAAAAAACTTCAGAGAAGAAGGTGAGTGTTCATGCAGGCAAAGCTATTTCCAGATCAGGCTGATTTTTAACAATTACTTCCCCATCATGAAATCAAGTTAGAAGAACTATTTCCTACAGACAGAAAAATCTCATCCCATAACACATTGTCAATCCAGAAAGGATTTAATACTCATAGCAGAATTACACTAACCCCAGGCAGCGTCTGCTTGTTATGACACGCATTAATTGCCTTGTCCGCTTCCTCTCTCGACGGGCATATCACAAAACAACACCCTACCACACACATCGAGAAAATTAGGGATTGCAGAAGCCACAAATCTCAGAGATAATGAAGCAACAAACAAAATTAAAAAAATCAACAAAACCTCCGAATCGAGCATTCCAAATCCTTACAGATTTCAACAAATCATGCAACAGGAACTCTCCTAAACAACGAAAAAATAAACAAGAAGAAGAAGAAACAACCTCGAGAAGCACGCGTGACCTTATCCTTGATTATGTTGACTTCTTCCACCAGCGCGACCTCTTCGAACATTGCTAGAATCTGAGATTCCGTCATGTGCTTCGGCACTTGACCTACGAACAGCTTGACTCTCTCTTCCTCCGCCATTACAGACAACGCTCCTCCCCCGCCCCGCCCCCCTAGCCGGCACAAACCTCCCCACCCCCCAGAAAAACGAAATCTCGTTAATGGCGATCCAAGAGTGCGCTGGCAAACGAAGAAGAAGTCCCAAAAAACCAAAATTAAAAATCCCAAAATCCAAAATCCAAAAATCAAAAATCAAAATTTCTCGATGCCAAAATGGCGATCTCCCTTGACTCCTTTTAGTTTTTAATTTTATTCCTAACAATTGAACTGCGCCGTAATTGCCCTCCAACTTTGCCGTATTTGCTCGGCGTGCCACTCTTTTAAGTTCCTCAACGGTTGACCGTTGCAGAAATAGAATGCTACCTGCTGCGAAATGACGCTTCTGCCCTCGCCCCTCTTTTTGGTAATTTTGATGTGACAAGATTTTTTGAGAATTGGAAAGTAAGGGCTGGTACGAAAATAAGGATTGGTCCATTCCCAAATTAAGATTGTTTTTTTATTTCCTAGTCTGTTCTTTTTAATTTATTTAACTTTTTTATGGTACATTTGCTAATTTTTCCCATGCAGCCAATTAGAGTGGAGATTTCTGTGAATAAATAATCCAAAGCAAACTTTTCTCCCTTTTCGCAGCACACCGCATTACGACGTCGTTTTCTGAGTGGCATTTTCGTTATTATGTGTGAAAGCGAGGGGGCGATGTTAAGGATGCCAGGCTGTCACGCGCACAAGCAAACGCAGGTGCCTATCTATTGCTGGCATATTTTCGTGAGCTCCTGGGCCCTCCGACACTTGGTGGGCTCCTGTCACTGTGGGCTAAGGTATTTCAAATTTGTCTGGACTTCGAGTCCTGGGTGCTCCCGTAAATCCGTACTAGTGCGTCTATGTGATTTTTATTTATTTTAATATAAATAAATAAATCCCGACATTATCCAGTAGGCCTTGTCCCCACTGCTACTGAATATTAATTTGTCTTTATCCGTCCCTGGATTTCTAATTTATTTCATTTTCACCTATGAACATTATTGACAGCTACGATTCACACCCCTAAATACTCTAAATACTCAAAGTGTGTGTTTGTTTGCTACTCTCGATTTTGAGTTGAACTTTGAATAATAAAAATTTTGAATTGTAATAATTGTATAATGTAATATAAATATATATTGGTAAAATAGTTTGAATACAAAATTAATTATTAATATAATTTTAAAAATAAAAAATAATTATTTAATTTGATACTTTTTTTAAAAATTTTTTATTTTTATATATAAACAATAAAATTTTTTTAAAAAAATCATTAACCGAACAATATTACCCGTTATCCAACATAAGTTGTATGGTACAAAATTGCCTCGTAACGGTTGTATTGTTTTGGACAATCTCGACTCGACTCCCGTTCGGACGGGATATCGAGAAAATTAAAATTTAAAAATGAAAAAATAAAAATTATTATTCGAGAGATAGATAGGGTCATTTTCTCCAAAAGTTGTGATAGTTTCTAATTGTATTTTTATTTATATTTTGTGATATCTAAATTACACTGTTTTTTTTTTTTTTGTACATTATGTATTGTTTTAAAAATCTATATTTTTATTCAAAATATTTACACAAAAGGTGTGTTTGTTTGAGGTTCGAATTTTGAATTGAGATTTAAATAGTAAAAAATTTGAATTATAATAGTTGAATAATGTGATATAAATAAGTATTAATATGATATTTTGAATATAAAATTTATTTTTAGTAATATAATATAAATAATAAATATTTGATTGATATTTTTTAAGAATTTTTTTTGTATAAATAATAAAAATTTATCAAAATCTTTCAAATATACACACCCATTATTCATTTTAATCTTAAGAATTTTAGAATATAATAAATACATATTAATATGATATTTTAAATGCAAGTTTAAATTTAAATATAATATAAACATAAAATATATAAATTTAATTTGATTTTTTTATATATAAATATATAAAAATAGTGAATAGTGAAAATTTATAAAAATTCTCCAATCAAGTGGTTGTGTTATTTTGTGATTTTATCACTGGTTTTTACCGTCTATAAAAAAATATATATATATCAAATCAAACAAGTACTCTTCTATTTTTTTATATTATATATTCAAACATCACATCAATCAATCAGTATTTATATTATATCAAATAACTATTCAAATTCATTTTTTTACTATTCAAAAATTCAAATTTAAAAACTAAAATTCACTAACAAAATAATTTTGTCCCTTTAAAACATATAACTTGTCTTGATTAAGTAATCAAATTTTATTTGTATTAAAGTTAAAAACTTTTTAACTCTAATAATAGATTATATTCAAAATGTTAGATCATTGTAATATTATGTGTTTGTTTAGTGTTTATTTGTTTTCTACATGAGATATGAGGAATAGTTTTATTAATATAAAAGAATAATATTTTATATTGAAATTTTATTTTTGTGAAATAATAAAATATAAATATTTATATATATCAAAATCATATCAACAAAAAAATGATTGGTTATTGAAAATTATTTATTTATTCGATGATGATGTGAAAATTGATGGCCCTGTTCTGGGTATATTTTTAATCGAATATAACAGCTGCAAATTAGGTCAAATATAGAATTTCAAAATATTTTCAAAATATTTAATTATTATTTATTTTTTTTTAATTTTTGTTTAACTTTTCACTTGTTTTAAACAAATATAGAACTTCAAAATATTTTCAAAACCTATTTAAATAAAGTATATATTTTAAGTGTTTGTTTGTGAGGTTTTGAATTGAATTTTATTATTTTAAAATTTATTCCTTTCCCTCTAACTTCAAAGTAAATATTTATTTATTTTTTTTATTGATTTTATTGTTAAAGTATTTCATAAATATATATTTATATCCCATCAGGTCAAAAGTTTATTGTCCCGTAAGAAATTGCCGGATCACCGTGAGATTATGAGTTAAAAAATATATATATTATTTAAAATTCAAAATCAAAATTCAATAAACAAACCCACAAGTGTCTTTTTTTTTAAAAAAAAAATTAAATTTGACTATTTGGACTTTGTATTCTTTATATTCCCTCCGTCCCATGACAAAGTATCAATTTTTCCATTTTAGTCTGTCCCATAACAAAGTATCCATTTCCTTTTTTTTAGTAATTGTACTATCTACCTAACATTACAAATACCCTTACAACTTACAATATATTACACAAATGCCATTACCTTTATTTCACGCATACTGTTAAGGTTATTTTAATTATTTCTACTTTATTCCTACTATATCCCAATATAATACTAATATTTCTAAAATTACGTGCAAAAAACAAATGGATACTTAGTTTCGGGACGGATGCAATAATGATAAAATTATGTAAATTAAATTGAAGGTATTTGTTTCATATTTAAGAGTTGCTTTCAAAGATTTCTAAAGTCTTTAAAAAGTACAAAGAGATTCAATTTTACACATAAATAAAATAAATCTCAGTATAATTTACCTAACCATTTATTTATAAATTTCTGGTAACCAAACAGAAGACATTCATATTAGTGTCAGGTCTGGTCTGGTTAGACCAAGTTATATTTTGGGATTTTTGAAATAATGTTAAATATGATATTATGTTAAATAAAATTTATATATTTTTTAATATATTAAAAAAAATTAGAAAATTGTTGATTTAATACATATAGTTTTATTTTTTATACAAATAATATGAAATCAAAATCAAACTTTAAATAAACAGAGTTAGATAATGAAAGTATTTTTTATATATAAAATCATTTAAAAATTAGATAAATATTAAATATAAAGTTGTACTATATAATACTCCCCCGTTCGGCCACAGATGACTCAATTTCTTTTTTGGTACGTCCCACAAAAGATGATCTCTTTCTATTTTTTGACAAATTTATCAATTTTAAATATAATTAACAAATATAAATCAATTTAATTAAACTTCTAACATCTTATATTTAGGACTCACTCAAAACCTTTTTATTTCTATATCTCTCATCAATTAACAAATATTTTTATCTACTTTTAAAACTCCCCATTTTTTATAAAATCAATTTATGATAATGATAAATAAATAAATATATTTTTTTTATTCATTTGTATAATATAAAATTTTATTGTCTACAAAATAATATCCATATTGCATATATTTTATTGAGATATAATTGTAGAAATATTTAAAATACCAACAACACTACACATATAAAAAATAATAAAATATTATCTTAACTTATTATTAATAATTTAATAACTTATACTACCTAAAATACCGTATACCTAAAAAAAAGACTTGCAGGACCGAGGGAGTATATTTTATGGAATATTTTAATAAAAATAATAAATGTTGAAAGTAATTTGTATACATATAAAATCAATAAAAAATTATATAAATTTGAATATACTTTATTTAATATATATAAAATCTTATTTGCCTATGACTTTCTTTCCGAAATCATTCACAATATATATATATTATGTTCTTACAAAAGTTTACATTAAATATAAAATATTATTTTTTATATTACCGATATTTCTCCATACCTCACTGAAAAAATCAAATCAAAACTCTAGCCAAACAAAACTACCATATAATACATTCTTATGAAGTATTTAATCAAAACATAATAAGAAAACAAAACAAAAACAAAATTAATGATCATTATATATTATCACTATTTCCTGATTATTATTATTATTATTATTATTATTATTACTATTTTGTATTAGAGCAAAATGATTAAAAAATTATGGATATTATATATTTGAAATAAATAAATACTTTCTCCGTCTCAATACAATACTTTTGTTTATCATTTTTGTCTGTCTCAAAACAATAGTTTCATTTCCATAAATAATCATATCACTATAAAACTACCCTTACTTTTTTATTATTATTACACAATTGTCACTATTTTTTACACTAATACATCCACAAATACAAAAAAGTCTTTTACTCGTACTATTTACTCACTACCAATATAATATCAATATTTCTTAAATATCGTATCATACCAAACACTTTAGAAACTATATAAAATTTTTATCATATTTTAAAAAGTATTGTACAAAATCTTTTTCTTTAGGGTTCCCGTAAGTCGCGTCCAATTTTTAGAGAATTTTGTTCAATACTTTACACAAAAATGTCATATAGTTTTTAAATCACGGAAAAAAATAACGCAAATTTTTCAAACTAAAAATGAATTATAAATAATTTTGTAATTTATATATTGCAAATTAAACTATATTAAAACATGATCTACAATGAATTTAACTGTGGTGTGTTATATGAACTACTCTATCAATCTCAAAATTATCTTATTTCCATAAATATCCATATCATTATATAACTACCTTTATTCTTTCGTTATTATTACACAATTGTCACTATCTTTTATACTAATACACTCAAAAAGGCACAAATGTCTTTTACCTATACTTTTTACCCACTATTAATATAATATAAATATTTCTTAAATCTCGTGCCTAATATAACCAAGACTATAGTTTCGGAACGGAGGGAGTATTGTTATATTTCGTCAATTTATATATTACTTTTATATTATTAATATAAATTGTACTCCCTCCGTCCCAAACACCCTGCAACATTTCCTTTTTGGTATGTCCCAAACACCCTGTAATATTTCCAAAATAGGAAATAATTAATTATACTTAATCTCCCCACACACTTTATTCCGTCACATCATCCAAATAAAAAAATAAAATATATATTTCTCTCTCCATCACATCACCTAATTTATAAATTATCATACTTAATACTACCATCTAAAAACTCGTACCAAAAGCAAATGTTGCACCTTGTTTAACAATCTATCCATTTTTTCATTTTGGTCCATCCCATAACAAAGTATCTGTTTCCTTTTTTAGTAATTGTACTATCTACCTAACATTACAAATACCCTTCTAATTTACAATATATTACACAAATACTATTACATTTATATCATACAATACTAATTGAGTTAATTTAGTATTTTTACCTTTATTTCTACTTTATCCCAATATAATACTAATATTTTTAAAACTTCGGGCAAAAAACAAATGAATAGATAAATTAAGTGCAAAAAGCAAATGAATAGATAGATTGGGGACAGATGGAGTATTTGTTACATACTATGTGTATATAAGGTGTTAAACAGCCCGTTTTAGAAATAATTAATAAAATAGTAAACATAAAAATGGTCCCCCAAAAGAAATACAGATACAGATACAGATACTGACTGACTGTCTGGCCCCAAATGAAATATGTAACACCAATAATCAAGGAGACATTTATGTCCTATTTTACTCCCTCCGAGCAACTTAAAAGTAAACAATTATTTTTGGTGCGGAGATTAAGGAATAATAGTATTTTAATTATATTAGGTAGATAAAAATATTTTTGCTTTTATTTTTTTGGTATAAAAGTAATAATGTGATGTAAAGTATAAGTATTTGTAGAAAAAATGGGATATTTAATGAAATGATTACTTTGTAATTGGACGTTCCAAAATAAAAATATATATATTTTCTAAGTGGACGGAAGGAGTATATTTTTATCAAACAAATCATATATTAATATTTATATTAAATATATATATATATCCATCAATATATAGAAGTAACTGTTCAAGTGTGTGACAGTTGTTGCCATCAATCAATAAAATTTTTGAAAGCTTTCACAATAATTATAATTATGTATATAGATGTGTGACATGTGTCTACTGCTAAGTGGCTTTGTTCTTTCAATATTTGTTTTCCGACAAGATTTTTAATATATATTTTATATTTTTATAAAAAAATAAAAATTTAATACTATAAAATATTATTTTTTTATTATCAATATATGTTTTTATATTCTACATAAAATAAAATAAAATTTCAAAACAAAACACTGAACAAACAAACCCAAGGTGTGTTTGTTTGGGAGATTGGATTTCCAATCACTATTCATCTCATTTTTTTTTTTTTTTCAAAAACATCGTATCAAACATTTATTTTTTATTTTTTATATTATACTAAAAATTAATTTTACATTCAAAATATCACATCAATACCTATTTATATCACATCATTATTCAAATCTCAACTTAAAATCCAAACCCCGAACAAACACACCCCATGGTGTAATGGGTTGGTTTGTTTGGTGTATAAAGGTTTCGTTTTCATATACACTTTTTGGAGTAATGAATTCTTGAAAATATTTAAATATTATAAATAATTAAATATTTGATATTATGTTTTTTATAAAAAAATTAAAAAATTAATACTAACTTTTGAAAAACAAAATATTATTATTATTTATTTTTAAAGTTTTGAAACTATGGTGAAAATGTGAACTCAAAGGATTGAGTTTGAGAATACAAGAGTTTTCATGGGACATGTCAATTTAAACGGGGCCTAATATTATTAATATTTTAAAAAATATAATTAATAAATAATATTAATATAAGGTGAATAATGTTATTGTGTGCACAATTAGTAAATCTAATACTCTCTTCGTCCCAAAAGTACAATCTTTTTGTGTCGGGCACGAGATTTAAAAAATATTAATATTATATTGATAGTTGGTAAAAAATAATGATAAATAACTTTTTTGCCAAGCAGTGACAATTGTGTAATAATAATGAAAAAGTATGGATAATTTTATGGTGATATGATTATTTATGAAAATGAGACTATTATTTTAGCACAGACAAAAATGTAAATAAGACTATTGTATTGGGACGGAGGGAATAATATATTTCAAGAATTACTAATTATTATTTGGTTATTATTATGATATTTTTAACATAATACTCTATATGTCTTCTAAAAATTGTTTACTTTTTATTTTTGTGTATTTTAAAAATATTCTAATTTTTTTTAGTAAGTAAAAAAATTATACTACTTATTAATATTATTTTTTAATTAAAAAAACACAAAATAACAAAATAGCATCAATCAAAATCCCACATATTAAAATATAAAAACATTTTGAGCATATTTTTGTGAGACAGAAATAATAATTATCTTCATAACATACAAATAATGTAACCATTTGTTTATTTATTTTTTTTTTAAAAAGAATTTATCTAAATGTACCATTAAATAAAACAAAGAGGAAAATTATGGACTTATGTCTAACTATAATATAAATTGAAAACAATAAAATAGTTATTGGCCCAATAGTTAAGGAGGGAGTAGGCCCAACAACTGAAAATACATAGAAATAAGAAAAATTAAATAATGGGGCATTCCGAGAATCGAACTCGGGACCTCTCGCACCCAAAGCGAGAATCATACCACTAGACCAAATGCCCTTGATTTGTAATTTTTCATTATTAAATATAACATTAAATTTAAATTAATAATTGAGGCCAAAGATATGTAATAATTATTACTCCCTCCCGCCCAAATACCGTGTCTGCTACACTGTAGATACGATATTTTAGGAGGGGTGTAATTAGTAGATAATTAAAAATGTATTAGTGAAAATAATTATCATATAATATAACTAATTATATATTAAAATTAAGACAACTAATTAAAAAAATAAAAAATTTAAAATGAGATTAAAGTGTGTAATCATTTTTCAAAAAAGGAAAGTAACATGGTATGTGGGACGGACAGAAACGACAACGTGGACATGGTATCTGGGACGGAGGGAGTATTATTGTTTGAAACAATTAAAGGTTTGTTTGTTTGGTGTTTGACGTTTAATGTTTAGTGTTTGAATTTTAAATTTAAAAATTAAATAATGTGATATAAATAGCTGTTTGATTTAATATTTTAAAGTAAAACTAATTTTAAGTATAAAATAAAAAAATAAATATTCATTTCGTTCCGGGTCAATGACCATTTTGGTTAGGGATATAATATTTTAGGTAATGTAAATTTGTAAAGAATTAATAATAAGTTATGATATTATTTTATTATTTTTTATATAAACAAGTAGTTAGTATTTTAAATATTTTTAAAATTATATCTTAAGTAAATAATTTATACAATACAAATAGAAAAATATAGTTATGTATATATTATTAATTTAAAATTAATTTTATAAAAAAATTAGTTTTAACTATAAATGAAAATATTTATTATTAAGAAGGAAGATAGTAAACAAATTTTTTTTGAATGGATAGTAAAATATTAAAAATTTAATTAAGTTATTTATTTTTATTAAATATATTAAAATGAATAAATTTATTATAAATAGAAATAAATTATTTTTTTATAGAATAGAATAAAAAAAGTCATATGTGAGAATATTTGATTTTATGCATTTAAAGAAGAAATAAAAAATAATAAAAATCTACTAAAGCATAATTAAATAAGAGAAAAACATATTTATATGTGCAATTAGTACGAATAAAAGTGGATCTACTTTTTGTGGTACTCGTCGATGATTCTTGATGAATAAGTAGAAAATCATTGGACAAAGTAAGAATGAAATGACAACAATACCCCTGAAAGTACACGTGTATTGACCAATCCCGTGTCGAGGGGGCATGTGCTTGTCTGGCATCTTCGTCTTTTTGTCGTTTTCATTTATGCATGATGGAAAAGTTGCCACTCTACTTGCGCCCCTTTCTCTTGCCCAACACGCCCGTGTCGACACCAAATAAAATAATATACATATTTGTATATATCTATATATCTTCTTCCTTTACTGTAATGGATTTTTGTTATTAAGTGCGAATTCTGCAGAGAAAGAAGGAGAGATGTTGAGGAATTCGTTAAGGTTATTACCTCTGATTTCTGTAATGATTTTTGATCTGTTGATTGATTGATTTTACACCGTTGGATTTGGAGATCTGCCATTGATGTGTTAATTTTTAATTGCAGAAAGGGGGTTAGAGCTTCTGGAGCTCAAAGGTACAGAGGATTTTCTGCTCAGACAGGAAGGTGCCATGGCTGTCATTAAAGATTTGGAACTTTTGCTAAACTTTTCAACGATTTTTTTAAATTTCTTACGAAATCTGTTTAGATCTGTTGGGATTTTATGTCTGAAATCGGACAGATATTTGCAGGAAATGTTTGTGTAATTTGCCATTGCTGATTCAGCAGATTAGAAGGGAAGGTAGCGGTTATCACCGGCGCGGCGACCGGAATCGGAAAGGAGGCGGCGGCGAGGTTTATTAAAAACGGCGCTAAGGTTGTCCTGGCCGACATCCAGGTCGCCGCCGGCAGGGATGCCGCCGCCGAGCTCGGCGGCGGCGCGGACTTCGTCGCCTGTGACGTCACCAAGGAAGAGCAAGTGTCGAACGCTTTGGATTTCGCGGTCGCCAAACACGGCCGTGTTGACGTCATGTACAACAACGCCGGCGTTCCCTGCCGGACGCCGCCGAGCATCGTCGACCTCGACATGGCGGCGTTCGAGCGCGTGATGGCGGTGAACGTCCGCGGGGTGGTGGCCGGAATCAAGCACGCGACACGTGTCATGATCCCATTGGGCAAGGGCGTGATCCTCTGCACCGCCAGCGTGACGGGGATTATGGGCGGCTTGGCTCAGCTCACCTACTCGGCTTCGAAGAGCTGCGTAATCGGAATCGTGAAATCGGCGGCGGCCGAGCTCAGCCGCCACGGGATTCGGATCAATTCCATCTCTCCGATGGCGATTCCGACGGCCTTCGCCGTCGACGAGATGAAGCTGTACTATCCCGGCGCCGATCCGGCTCGGCTCGCACAGATGGTCCGCGATTTGAGCGCGCTGAAAGGCGCCGCCTGTGAGCCGTCCGATGTTGCTGACGCGGCGGTTTATCTAGCGTCCGATGAAGCCAAGTTCGTCAGCGGCCATAACCTTGTAGTTGACGGCGGTTTCACGGCGTTCAAGACGTTAACTCTGCCGGCGCCAGGAACTATTTAACGGGCCATCTAAATTGGGTCGGCCCAATACTTTTATCGCTGTTTTAATTTGGGCCTATAAGCCCAATAGTTGGAATAATAGGTAAAATTCTAAAAGATATATTTATTTGATATAAATAAGTCATTTAACCCGAATATACCTTTACTTTTTTCTTTTTATTTAATCAGAAAATTAGTCAAAATAGAGATAAATAAATAAATAAAATTGTTGACTAATTAGATCAAAATGTGGTCTTAAACTGCGTACGTGTTTACCAAATTCCTACGTCCGTTCCCTATACGTTTATTACAATAAATACAAGAATTTACATAAAATATATGTCATTTGTTATTTAATAGTGTGATAATTTGATCGGACACGAATTTTTAAAAAAATAGATAAAAATAAAAACTTCTACTTTTTGAGTAAATAAAAAATAAAAAAATTGATACTTTTTTACTAAAAGATTGAAATGAGAATAAATTTGATTGAAAAAATAAAATAAAATTATAAAATTTAAAATGTAATTAAAGTGTATAATTATATTTTTAAAATATAAAAAAAAAATTATATGAGATTGACAAAAATAAAAAATACGAACAGTAGAAGCGAAAAAAATACTATCTTTGACTTGGTGGCCATTCATTGATTAATTGTAATTCGAAAGATGAAAATTTAATTCAATTGTTATAAATAAAATTGGTAAAAGAAAATATTTTATATTCTATAGTTACAGATGAAATTAGTAATATTATATATACATACAAATAATAAATCATTAATTAATATTCAATCATATACATATGAATACAAATATTACATTGTTAATATTCATTTTAGGATGTAGAATATTTAGACAATTTTATTCGTATGGATACTGTGGACAAAAAATTATATTATTTTTAATAAATACAAAATTTATATAAATTATATTTGATTTGAATTTAAAACGGGTCTTATTCTCTAAATGGGTCATTTGATTCTCCTTCCGGGTGGATTTATTTTCCAATTTTGTTTTCTATGGCTTCTTCGATCCGAAGAGATTTGGTCTTCGGTTTGATTTTGCCGGCTTTTGAAGGGTTTTGGTCTCCGTGCGGGCGATTTGATCGTCAGCTTTGGATTTGATGTCATTTTTTTAGACGATCCGAGGCTTTGATCTTTGATTTGGCTTTGCCGCTTTTGGAGGATTTTGGTCTCCATGTTGGCGATTTGATCGTCGGCTTTTGATTTGATGTCTTTTTTTAGACGGTCCGCGACTTTGACATTTGTTTTGGCTTTGCTGCTTTTTGAGGACTTTGGTCTCCGTATTGGCGATTTGATCATCGTCTTTGGATTTGTTGTATTCTTTAGACAATCCGGACTTTGATCTTTGAGGAGGTAGATTTGGTGCTCCGTAATGCTTTTGGCGGCGTGTCCCTTTGACTTTTGGATCGAAGAGGGTCTAGTTGATGTGTTGTTGAAGAACACGATGAACATCTCGAAGCTTTGAGATGAACTTTGGAAACCTTCCCTTGGCTTTGACGAATTCCTCGACGGCTTTGAGAGCTTTGATCCTTCCTCCGGCTCGGACATACGACGAAGAACGTTAACTTCATCGATTCTCTAACCAATATTGGATCATTTGTCCAAATTAGTGACTTTCGACGAAGAACGCTTCGAAGGACACGAAGAACAATGAAGAACATTGCAGAGAGTCTAGAGAGACTTACCCTTACGCAAGTTTTCAAATGAACGTGTCAAATGAACTGGCCATGACTCCTATTTATAGGGGAGGGTGGCCTTGGCTTCCTTTTCGGATGGTGCCACGTGGATGGAAAGATTTTATAATCTTTCCTTTTCCATTGGATGCCGTTTTTCATTTTTGACGGATTTGATTGTGCACCATCTTTTCTCGCCAAAATCTTTATATCATTGCCTTTTTTGGAAGATATTAATTTATATACTTCCTTTATTGACAAGATCTTTATATCATTACCTTGTTTGGAAGATATCAATTTATATACTTACTTTATTGACAAGATTAATTTATTTTGTTGTCAAATTTATTATGGCTCTATTTATGAACGTAATATTTGTACGATATCTTCCATTTTAAGCAGATTTTTGCATTAATGGATGATATTTATTGTACAAAAATTAACATATGTGCATAATTAAATACCATATGTTTATATTATTGGAATTTTATTTTCTTCCAAAATACATGATATTTAATTTAATTTAGACATTTAATTTTTAATACCTACAAAATGCCCCCTCGAGACTTGTTTAAGCCGACGCAAAATGTTTAAGGCGTGAACGAGTCTCGAAACATAAATCAATTTTTTTTTTGACTGATTTTTTTTTATGGCTATCCTTTTTGATTTTTTTTTTTAGCCAAAAGGGCTTTTTATTTTTTATTTTTGATTTTGGACGAGATTTTTTTTGTCCAATTGATTTTTTTAAGCTCGATTTTTTTGAACTTTTTTTGTTTTGGCATAATTGACTGAACTCGGAGTTATATTCCAAGTTGTCTACGTATCCGGTTAATGAATCAAGTCATAACGTAGTTCAAAAGAAATTGAATTTGTTTGTTTTTGTTAAACAATTTATTCTCGTGTTAAGGAGTCTTGTTAGAAAGTTTATCCTCATTTCCAGGAGATTGCAGAAAGTTTATCCTCGTTTCCAGGAGATTGTAGAAAGTTTATCCTCGTTTCTAGGAGATCGCAGAAAGTTTATCCTCGTTTCCAAGAGATTGCAGAAAGTTTATCCTCATTTCCAGATGATTGCAGAAAGTTTATCCTCGTTTCCAGGAGATTGCAGAAAGTTTATCCTCATTTCCAGGAGATTGAAGAAAGTTTATTCTCGTTTCCAGGAGATTGCAGAAAGTTTATCCTCATTTCCAGGAGTGTTGTAGGTATGATTGCCCCCACTGTTTGAAGTGTTGTATTTCTCGTCATCTGAGAAATCTTCAGTAGGCGGTCCATACATTCCACTAGACATCATGCTCAATTCCATATCATGAGCGCGAGTGGCGAGTTCTTCAAAAGTATGGGGTCGGATCCCTTGTAGGATGTATTTCAAGCCCCATTGCATCCCTTGAATGCACATTTCTATGTTGGAAGCCTCGGACATACAGTCTTTGCAGTTGAGGCTTAGACTTCTCCAGCGGTTGATGTAGTCAATTACTGGTTCGTCTTTCCATTGGCGACTGTTGGTGAGTTCAGTCATGCTGACGGTTCTCCTTGTGCTGTAGAACCGATTCAAGAACTCGTGCTTTAACTGTTCCCAATTGTCAATGGAACCAGCTTCTAAGTCAATGTACCAATTGAAGGCGTTGCTGTTTAGTGACCGCACAAATTGTTTGACTAGGAGGTCTTCATATGTTCCAGCATCGTTGCATGTCTCGACAAAGTGCGCTATATGTTGCTTTGGGTTGCCTTTACCGTCAAATTGTTGAAACTTTGGTGGTTGATAGCCCGTTGGCATTTTGAGGGCGTCAATCCTTGCAGTGTAAGGCTTGGCGTAAGTGTGCGTCGGCCTTGAACTCCCTTCGAATTCTCTTTTGATTGCCCCCTTGATGTATTTGTCAAGTTGGGATATATGGATGAAAGAGTTGGATGATCCTTGAAATAGATTTGATTCCGCCACCTTTTCTTTTCCATGATGTTGCTCCACAAATGTTGCCGCTTTATTTTGGACCGCTGGGGAAGATGGTTGCTTTTCGGTTGCATGGCCAGCTTCTTCAGGCTTGTCCAGCTTTGTGATAAGTTTTTCGATGAGGGCGTCTTGTTGTTGCATGTGTTGAGACATCCCTTTAATGATTTTGGCCAATGCTGCAAGTTGTTCTTCTATACTTGAAGCCTTGATAGTCATCACAGGAGCGAAAGCTAATGTAGTCGAATGACTTGAACTTGGCTGACGAGTAGGTGGCATGAGAGTGCCTTTGAAGCTTTGATCTTCCTGGCAAAGCAGACTTTGATCCACAAGCTTTGGGTCCTCAATATTTGAAGCGTTGGTAGTCATCACCGGAGCAAAGCTTGATGCGGTTGAATAACTTGCAGTTTGTTGAGGGGTGAACAGTGCGGCAGTACTCTTAAAGTTGTCGTCTTCTTCATAGAGTGGACTTTGCTCTGTGATTTTTGGAGAAGTGTCTTCAGATAACGACAATGCTCTTTTGGTCATGCTTCGTGTTGTCATTCCAGTATTTGTCGAAGCGCTTGAGGTTTTGGACGCGATGGGTGCGCCAACTTCTTTGGCGGCGACGGCGGCTTGAGCAGCAACTTTTGACGCAACGTTGGAAGTCTTGATCTTGTAGGAAGCCATTGGTTGTTGAGAGTTCGTCGGAAAGAGAGATGAAAGGTAGAGAGGTCCCACTGGGCGTGCCAAAAATATGTGGACAAAAAATTGTGTTATTTTTAATAAACACAAAATTTGTACAAATTATATTTGATTTGAATTTAAAGCGGATCCTATTCTCTAAATGGGTCATTTGATTCTCCTTCCGGGTGGATTTATTTTCCAACTTGGTTTTCCATGGCTTCTTCGATCCGAAGAGATTTGGTCTTCGGTTTGATTCTGCCGGCTTTGGGAGGGTTTTGGTCTCCGTGCGGGCGATTTGATCGTCAGCTTTGGATTTGATGTCTTTTTTTTAGACGATCCGAGGCTTTGATCTTTGATTTGGCTTTGCCGCTTTTGGAGGACTTTGGTCTCCATGTTGGCGATTTGATCGTCGGCTTTGGATTTGATGTCTTTTTTTAGACGGTCCGCGACTTTAACATTTGTTTTGGCTTTGCCGCTTTTGGAGGACTTTGGTCTCCGTATTGACGATTTGATCATCGTCTTTGGATTTGTTGTATTCTTTAGACAATCCGGACTTTGATCTTTGAGGAGGTAGATTTGGTGCTCCGTAACGCTTTTTGCGGCGTGTCCCTTTAACTTTTGGATCGAAGAGGGTCTAGTTGATGCTTTGTTGAAGAACACGATGAACATCTCGAAGCTTTGAAAGGAACTTTGGAGACCTTCCCTTAGCTTTGAAAAATTCCTCGACGGCTTTGAGAGCTTTGATCCTTTCTCCGGCTCGGGCATACGACGAAGAACGTTAACTTCATCGATTCGCCAACCAATATTGGATCATTTGTCCAAATTAGTGACTTTCGACGAAGAACGCTTCGAAGG